TGTATTTACAGAAGTACATCATTACTGCAGCTTCCAAACCAGGATGGTCTTCTCTCCTATGAGCTCAGGGCAGCTGAAGACATCTTTACCCATTGCTGTCCGCAGATACTACCCAGAAATAAAAAGGCTCCTGAAAGCCATCAGGAAAGTAAAACAACAGCTAGTGGTAGAAATTGTTACCTGACAATCAAAGACAAATTTTTATGACAAGAGACAAGATATACCTCCTGTCAAAGCTCCCAAGTCAATGCTGGTTTCTCATTCTGAAGCACTACTGGTTTTTTGAAAGCTGTTTTTAAGCTGGTAACACTATTTTCCTAACAGTTCTATGTCTAACTGGGAGAGAGAAAAGAGTCAGCAAGATCTAAAAGAGATTAGGCTGAAGATGTATCTATTAGTGTTGTTATCACTAGTTCAAAAGAGTTTGCAGGTATAATGGGGGGAGGAAGGAGGGGAGTACACTCTTTTTAAAGAGGGGAGGGAAAAAAAAAGATACTGTTCTAAGGCTTTCAGGCAGAGTTCCTTCAAAAGCAAAAAGAATAAATACCTCAGATATTTACCACAAGATATGTAAGTCATAAGCTTAATTTCACCCCCTTGCCAGCCTGCTTTGTCCCATGCCTCAGCACAACTGATGGACTCAGAGATCACCTCTCAGCCACCCGCCATGTCCGGCTTCAACCAGCCCGGCCAGGCCTCAACTCACCAGCATACACAGTAGCTCAAGGGTCAAGAGTAAGATCTTACCAATAATTAGTCATCTTCTCCTCCTCCAAGAGCTAGTAAACTTTATTATTCTCTTAGTAAATTGTTCCAAAGCAAAGCATTTAAATAAGATATGTCTTCATTTTACTAGCATTGTGGTAAGAGATCATACGAGTGCCACACTAATTTCTGTTCAGCTTGTATTATTTAGGAACTAGACACACATCCACTCAAATACATTTTTAATAGGGAAAGGAGTACTAATAAAAGTTTGGTACCCCATAGTCACATAAAGACAAAAGTCAGCATACATTTATGCAGGAAAGTTAAGAGCACAATATTAAGAAACATTTACCTCACCCAAGATAGTTCTGTGTCAGGGATATTATAGTACAAATGTATCCATTAATTTGTCTCTATAGACTTTTCAGCTAATGGAAAAGTTGATGCAAAGCACAACAATCAAGATAAGTTACCTCATAAAAATGTTCAGGAGAGGGAATGTATAAAACAATATGCATCAAGACATACTTTGTTTTCAATGGTTCATGACATTACTGTTATGAATTTTCTTCTTACTCAGTCCTAATTATTTCTTGCCTCTTTTTCACTTTCATATAATCACTAATGTCATTTAATAAGTTCCACTTTTTTACAACTTCACCCCATTTGTTTTATGTCCCATGAAAATAGCATAGAAGGCAGCTGTCTACGGAATTCATTCAAGGAGTGCAAACAGCAAGGAAATTTTTAAAGCTTGGAGTGGACTTATTCCACAAAGATCAAATTTGAACAGAAGTTAAGATTTAACTGACTGAAATCTAGGGTAAAGAAATGCAATTCTCATGAAAGTCTTCTAACAAGTTAATGAGTAGGTTATATCATTAAGCAAGATAGAGTCCTCTATATTGAACATTAATGCAACTGATGTTCTATTTTTTAATTAAGAGTCAGAACATTTGCACTCGTAAGTTACAATAGTCCATTTTGTCCTTCCAGGTTCAAAGCTGCACTAGGCAACGTTTCCAAAGTTTAGTATGGTTCAGCCAGAGAGTAGTCTGTACATTACTGAAATAAGGCTGTGAGCCCAGAATTAAGGTTCTTTTAGATCTATTCCACCCCCTTCCAAGAGCAAATTAAAGACTAGTTCAAATTATTTGCCCACTTACATTGTATATTTGTTAACACTTTGTATCAAACCAAAATTTGATGCTATGGTTTGAAACTGATGAGTTGATATGAATACCACCAACAGTGTTTCACACATATGATTTGTTACCCACAGACATACTGCAGCTACTTCATTTTCTCGTTTGCTTTTTCATTTATATGCTTAATGACTACATGTTGAAACATCAAAAGGGTTAAGGGAACATGAAACAGTACCAGAAAGCTTGAGTTACCCCAGGTAGATTGTTGGTATTCAGAGACTATCAACATACCACCACTGTCTTCCAACTACCTGAAGGGAACACAGAGAAGCCAGATTCCTCTCAGAGGTCCATGGTGGTAGGACAAGGGGCAAGAGACTAAAGTTGCAAGAAGGGAAATTCCAATTACATATTGGGAAAGAAGTTTAGCAGTGAGGGTAACCAAACGTTGTAACGAGTTACACAAAGAGACCAGAAGTGTTTAGCCTTAGAGATACTCTAAACTCAACTGCACAAAACCTGAGCAAGCTGATGTAAGTTGGTCCTGCAGCAGGTTGGACCAGATCACTTCCACAGGTCCCTTCCAACTAAAAATTACTTTGATTCTGCAACACTTGCTCAATGACTGTTTCATAGATCAGCTGATGGGGGGAGGGACAGATGATGCAGCCCCTGATTTAATCTGAAGTAGCATGCAGTACCTTATTCAAAAATCTCACTGCTGAAGACCCTCTCAAGATGAACAATAGCATGCTAAGATTCAACATCTCTGTAGGAGCAACAAAAGCCAAGGACTCCATCACAGCTGCACTTAGCTTCAAAAGAAGATACCAAAATAAAAGTGCGGATACTAAAGTGTTACAAAGTTGGCAGTAAGAAGGATCAGATCCTTACAGCTAGCACACAGAGAAAGTAAAGACACCACATGGACACACCAGGTAGTAAGAAACACCTGAAAGAGCAAAAGAAAACAGGAAAAACTAGGGGAGTCTACTAGAAACGAAGAGGCAGCTTTCACAAAGTTGAGACAATACCCAAATGAACATGGCCATGCAGGATTTAATTTGTCAAACTAAGACTAAACAAAGCAGACTCCCCTCCTCCCTGCAATTTACACGAGGAATAATTCAAAAAAATCCCTTAATTATTCAAAATGCATGGAGAAGAATGCATCAAACTACAGAAGGACGATCATCTGGAAAACACACACAGAACAGTTATTTATTTGCAACTGTTCTGTTTCTCCTTCTAATCCTCGCAGAAAACTGAAACCTTAGTCTTGGGTATGCCCAGGGTCCCTCTCAAGTCACAGAACAGAGGGGAGTGGATCCAGAACCAAGGTACTAGTACATGTTTCAATATGGTTTGAATACCCAACACAGTAACAGTGATATACAACTGCTCACTTGAAACAAAATTGAATGTACACTATTTTGGTACCAAACAGCAGAAGAATGGCAAACATGATGCCACTTTCAAGGGAACTTAGGAAAGATCTCAACAATGAGCCTGTAAGCCTTACGTCTCTAGCAAGCAAGTTAAGAGCAATAGGTAGCATGAAATGAGTATTACATAAATAGAGAGGAATCAAAGCAACTTTTTCAGAGGGAAGTCCTGATTCACAGATCTGGTAGAATTCTCTAAAGGAAGCAGCAAGGACAGGCACAATGCCCAGAAGTCTTGCAACAAAAAAAATAATAAAAGCTTTCAAGGAAGTTAACTGGTCACATATGAGATAAAAGGTCCTTTCATGGACAGTAACTAGTAAAGAAATAGTAATCAGACTGTAGGAAGATCAGTCACTTCTTACTCAGTGGAAGATGCTGACCAGAGCTGTTTCAGAGATTATCTGTGTCCTTTATTATATCCATTCATAATTGACCTGAAAGTTAGCTGACAAAATTAAGTCAGTCATCATCATTACAATCACAAGCCTTTGTGGAAGGACTTTACAGAATTGAGTGACTAGACAATAAATTTGCAGATTAAACTCAGTAGAGGTAGGCAATACATATGTGAAAATAATAATATGAGCTGAAAAACTCTAAGCTTGTTACTGATGAAGGAGTGAGATACTGAGGTAACAGTATATAGTTTCATGATTTGGAGAAAAGAAAGCAAACACAAAATAGTATACCACTGTAAAAAATCTATAGTGCATTCACACCTTGACTCCTGTGTGAGGCTTTGTCCTGTCTCCCATTCTCTCTCCCTCCACCTCACCAACTTGGGAGGAAGAGAAGGTCTGGAAATCTGTCTCTTTTTAATTCAATTTATTATCATGGATGCATTGCAGCTAAGCAGACCATGGGATTTACAGCCTGAAACAGTGTAAATTGTAAACTCTTGGGTGCAGCAC